TGAAAAATGGGATGAGCTGCAAGATACGTGGCCCCAATATTATCACAGTAGAGAACCGGTGGAGACATGAGTTTGACCCCCAAATCAAAGAGAAGAGAATTAAGCCACAAGAGTTCAATGGTGGCATTAGCTAGAGCTCGAAATTCAGTTTCCCGTCCTTGGGAAATTACAAGAGCAAGAACAGTGCACACACTAGTAGGTTTGACTACAGGACTGAAAGTTTCAGTGAAGTCGACACCCGGAACCTGAGTGAAGCCTTGTGCAACAAGACGGTCTTTGTAGCGATCAATGGAACCGTTAGGGTTGCGTTTAATTTTAAAAACCCGTTTGGAGCCAACCACATTCATAGAAGCATCATAGGGAACCAATTCCCAAGTACCATTCTAAAGCAAAACATGGAGCTCAGCAGCCATGGCAGCCCGCTAGTGAGGAGACTTGGAAGCCTGTTCGTAGGAGGTAGGTTCCTCCTCATGAGTATGAACATTATGTAGTAAAGCAATTGGGAGAGGATGGCGAGTGGCAATTAATGCTTGAACCGACCTAAACGTCATAGACCTTGTCATCGTTGTATGAGTGTGCACTGGAGGGTCTACAATAGGAGTCATGTCCAACAATTTCTGAATAGGATGGGTGCGCAAAACTGGCAAGGAATCAGAACTGAGAGAAACTTCTTGTTTGGGCTCAAAGGAGGAAGTAGTAGATGCCTCATTAGTAACAGATATAGATGGCAGTGGAGAAGAAGATACCTTAGGAGCCAAACACGTGTCACCACTAATGGTGGCCAAAGAGGGAAGAAGAACTCCAGTAGGGGTAACAGGGACAGAAGGTGGCGATGACTGTGCTATTCCAGGAAATGAGTGTTCATCGAATACAACATATCTCACAATTATTTCTTTGCTAGCAGCAAGATTGTGACAATGGTACCCTTTGTGACTGTTGTTGTAGCCAATAAAGATACATGGAGCAGAACAAAAATCCAACTTGTGTGCATTATAAGGCCGAAGAAGAGGGTAACACTTGCAACCAAAAACCTTTAGCATAGAATAATCAGGAAGCTTTTCAAATAATTTCTCATAAGGGAAGAGATTACCAAGGCTCGGAGTTAGTAGTCGATTGATGAGGAAGATGGTAGTTTCAGCAGCATCTGCCCAGAAGGACTGAGAGAGAGAGGAGGACGCTAGTAGAGACAAAGTGGACTCAATAATGTGCCGATGTTTTTGCTCAACGCTACCATTCTGCTCATGCATATGAGGACAACTAAGGTGGTGGAGAATACTAGCATTATCAAGATAACGAGAGAGACTGCGAAATTCGCCACCACAATCACTTTGAAACAACTTAATTTTTGTAGAGAAAAGATTTTCCACATGATTCTTAAAGTTAATAAAAGTATTAAACACATCTGACTTTCTCTCAAGAGGAAAAATCCATGAAAATCGAGAATATGCATCCATAAATAGAACATAGTATTTGAAGCCCTTATTGGACATAGTTGGGGGAGGTCCCCATACATAAGAAAAAACTAGTTCAAGAGGTGCAGAAAAAAGTAGTAGAGTAAGATGGTAGGCTTAAACAATGAGCTTTACCCATTTGGCAAGTTTCACACACAAAAGGACAACTGAAAGATCCAAAATAAGGTAAACCAAATTTAGAAATAATATTTTTCACGACTCGGAGAGATGTATGACCAAGTCGTTGATGCCATTCTGCCACAGAAGTTTTCTCGCCTACAAAAGCTGCCGAGTTCTCTATCTTGTGTTGAACTGCTCCAAGAAACTGATAGAACCCATCTCTACTGGGTCCTCTGAGTAAAATTCTCCCCATATGGTCCTTCAAGACAAAGAAATCCGGATGAAATTCAAAAATCAGATTACTATCCTTGTAAATGTACTTACAGATAACAGATTTTTTGTAAGAGAAGGAACATGAAAGATATTTTTCTAGGAAAATTGATTATGATTGCAAACTAGAGATGCCAACCCTGTATTGTTTATAGTCAAACCTGTTCCACTACTGATCTTGACTTGAACCTTGGTATTCAGTCCGAACTTGTAAGTTTTCAGCATCCGGTGTCATGTGATGAGTGGTGCCACTATCCAAATACCAGATTGGATCAAATCTTGTTCTAGACGTAGAGCCGTTGTGTGAGATGCCGCTGTGAAATGTTGTAGGGTCTGCCGGATGCGTAGTGTTCTCTCCTTGGTACGGGAGATCAAATCTTTTGTAATATTTCAGTCCTCCATGGCTTGGTTTGTTACAAAGTTGACAAATAATACTATTTTCTCTTCCACGACCTTGTCTGTGGCCTCAGGGCTGGCTACCACACCCCCTGCCTCTGCCACGATTGTTGCCACCCCTGCCTTGATTGTAAGAATTTTGAGAGGGCTGAAAACTATTAGTCGAATTTTTATTATTATTCATTGCAAGATTTGCATTAGGATTTTCATTGGAAAAGTTATGTTGTAAAAGCCAGGCTTCATGACTTAGAAGTAATCCAAGAACTTCACTAATATTGAGCTGATCTGCATCAGCTCGATTTGTAATAGTTGTAATAAGGGATTCATACTCACTTCCCAAGTTGGATAGGATGTATAAAATCATATCTACTTTTGCTATTGGTTTTGAGATTACAGAGAGACTATCTGTAATTGTTTTAGCTTTCTGAACATAGTCGCTGACAGACAGGTTCCCTTTCTTGAGATTTTGAAGTTGACGTCTGAGTTGAAGTACCCTGGATCGAGAATGAGAAGAGAAAGATTTCTCCAGAGCATTCCAGATTTCAACGGCTGTAGAGAGTCCAACGACTTGTGCTAGAACTCCTTCCGTTAAAGAAGCTACAAGCTAGTTTAGGACCACCTGATCTAACTGCACCCAGGTGGAGAATTCTAGGTTCAGAATTCTCTTACTACTATCATCAGGATATGGAATCATTTCTGATGGAGGCTTGGCCAATGCATCATTGAGCCCCATCAACTTGTGGCCTCGAAGTGTTGGAAGCAATTGAGCTTTCCAGAGAAGAAAATTTTTGCCATTGAGTTTGATTGTTAGGTAATGCAAAATATTAGGAATAGAACTTATGTTAATTGGTTGGGAAGAATTCTGGGAAGAGGTTGAGCTTGAGCTCATTATCTCATAAGCAATTGGGGTGTTGTAAGCCATGGCTTTGATACCAAGTTAAAGTTAGAAAGACAAAGATGAAAGAATGGGTCGAATTTCACTATTATGAATGGTTATACATGGCTGAATATTTATACATAATAATAAAGAATAAATTAGAAATAATTACAAGAATAGAAACAGAGAAATAAGGAAAGGTCTTTAGTAGGAAACTTGCTATGAGAAGAGCTTCCTTGTTGCTCTAATTGACCTCTCTTTGGTAAGTGTCCTCTGTATAGTAGCTGGTCCTTCTTTGGCAGGAAGACTAAAGCCTTCTTTGGTAAGAGATCTGGGGCTCTCTTTGGTAAATCGGCTAGAGCTCTCTTTAGCAGGAAGGATGGAGCTTTCTTTGGTAAGAGTGGAAGAGCTATTTTTAACTGATATAATACCCTCTTTTTGTATATTAGATTCTCCTACCTGTCACTATTTTTAACTGTATAAATAGATAAAAATTTGTGAGGTGGGAGAATATGATAATTACCTTATCCAAAACGTTGAATTCCATTACCAACATTTTATTGGTTAAAATTTTTGTGGTTCAGAAAAGTAATTCCCATTTGCTATGATGCTCCCTATCCTGAGACTGAATTAGCTCCCCCCCCCACCCCACAACATTCCATAGCACATCCCCGTCGTGTATTGGGAACATCTCCCGATGATGACATCATCATTTCTGGTATTATGATCGAGAGATGTTCCCAATACACGACAAGGATGTGTTGTGGGACATTGTGGGGGGCTGACTTGAACTCCCCTATCCCCTCAAATTAAAAAGCAATTCATACCTTGAAGATTGAAATGTGTGGGCACAACTCATATTGGAATGTTGGAATGGCTTTTTGTTGGAAGAAGGTTTGGTCTTGTTGGTTAAGACATGGGGACCAAACAGTGTCCGTGTGTACATTAAGGTCTTTCATTTTAAGAGAGATACCAAGTGATCTTCTAAACTTGTGGATCATCAACATTTTGAGGTAGAAATTGCCATGGCATATTGTAGATTTAGAATAGTCTTCATATACAAAATTCACATGCAAAAATCAAGTGATATATCATTCAAGGTAGAATTATGCCTTTTCCTTCTATGAGAAGTCTTCTTTTTTTTTGCAATTCACCAACTCTAATGGAATTGAGATTTGCTCCTCATAGAGTGCTCCTCACACCAACCTCATAGAACATCTTAACATGTATTAGGAACATCTACACAAATATGGGAGATGTTCCCAATATGCAGCAGAGATGTGCTGTGGGGAACAGATCCAGAATAACCCTAGGAAAGGGATGGATCAATCCCAAATCTTTGGTGTAACTGTCTAAGGGCATTATCAATTAGAAATTAGATTTTCTATATAAAGACCTGATATCTTTTCAATTGAGTCAATTATCAATTGTCACCTCACAAAAATAACAATATACAATGACCTGATATCATCCCAATTGAGACAATTATCAAATGTCACCTCACGAATGGACAGAATAGCTACCCAGAGTATTAAGATAGTAACACCAAATTGCTTTGTTGAAGAAAGAACCAATTTTCCCAATGTTACTTTTTAGTTTTTTTTTCCTCTTTGCTGGTGCGGTTTAAAAGTGCTTTTTGTGTAATATGTTATGGCAAAGTGCTTTTAAATAACGATTCCAATTTTATTCATGGATGATCATATGGATATGGGAATGGGATGTCATGCAGGTGAATCTACATACATGATAAATACCAAAAAAAAAAAAAAACAAAAAGGAATCTACATACATGACGCATGACACATGAATGTACATACGTGGGCTCAGTGCTGGGTCCTTTCCCTTATAAGTAGTGTCCCCCCCCTCCAACTCCCTTCTCCCTCGGAAATTGAAAAGAAAAAACAACGCAGAGAGAGAAAGAGAGCGAGAGAGGAGGAGAGAGAAGCGGAAACCGTTTCTGAGCTTTATAGGGTTTGCAGAAGCTCCAAACTCTAACCAAATTTTCTTTTCTCTCCTCTTTCCTCTCTCAGTCGCCATTGTTCCAGCAGAGATCGGAAATACTCGCTCCCGAAAAGTTCAGGAACTCTATTTGGGCTCCCATTTACAACTTTCTGAGTCTTCTTTTGGTTGGTTATTCGTAGAGAGAGGAAGAGGAGGCGGGAGATCTATTGAGTTTTCTTCTACTCTCACGAATCTCTCGTAAGGACTCAGTTTTTTGGTACAGTTCAGTTCATTCTTCATTGTTCTCCTTTTCTTTGATCTGCACCTGTTCGTTCTGCGTTCAATTAGCATTATTCCTCTGTTGTGTCGTTGGGGTTTCTTTCTCGTGTTGTTTAATTAATTAGTGCACCCTGTTTCTGGCTTAGATTTAAATTTCCTTTTAGAATCCCATTTTATGGTTTATTTACGGAGATGGTTTTGTAAGGGAGATCTCCTGTAATCCCGTTGATAGAATGTGAGGAAAATGGGAATAAAATGCGGGCACTTTTGTCTTCGGTTTGCACTGTAGTAACAGAGAAGGATTGTTACATCTGTTTGTAGTTTAGTTTTTGTCTAAAATTAACATTTTATTTTGTTCCTCCAAGAGGGATGATATGTTTAGAATTACTAGTTTGGGCGTCATTTAGTGTCTTTCTCCACCTGGAGCCCATCATTTCTAGGCTGAAATTGACTTCTTCTCATCTTTTCAAGTTAGCTTGGGATGTTTAGTATGTTTATCACCATCCTTCTCGGGTGTTTAGTATGTATACAAAACCCTTAGAATTCAACTACTTAGGGCTTTGAATTTCTACTTGATTTGGGTAATTCTGTTTGTGTATTTACACTCCCCTGCAATGTAGGCAAATGGGGAGTATTGTATTTACACCCCTGTCTGTTTGATCTCATTCCTATCAAGATTCACCTCTTTGCCTTGAAGAAAGGAGGTCTGAGTGCATGGCGAACTAAAACTTTTACTGCTTGCAGGACATACAAAAATGGTGTTGTGGGTTTTTGGCTATGGTTCGTTGGTATGGAACCCGGGATTCGAGTTTGATGAGAAGATTATAGGTTTCATCAAGGATTACAGGCGTGTCTTTGATCTAGGTAAGGTGTTTTGTATTGGGTGGTTGGCAACAATTTCTTAGATTTACACATAAAGTGGAGGAAATATTTATCTCCTACCTGCTTGGAGGACATGGGTCCAACCAAATGCATTTTACACTTTGATTTTTTTTTTTTGGTTTAGACTTTAGAGTTAGGATTGAGGGGTTTATGGTTTAGAATTTAGGATTTTGATATGAAAATCAAGAGGTGGTTGGATGCTTTCGTCCTAATATTACGATTGATGGATTTTTCCTTTTGTCATGTTTCAGCATGCATTGATCATAGAGGTACACCTGAAGAGCCAGCAAGAACTTGCACTTTGGAGGCCCATGAAGGAGCTATCTGCGTAAGTACTAGAGTCCTTTATTCTTCCCTGTTCTTCTTCTACCATAATTAATACATATTATCTTCTTGATCCAGTGGTGAGTTTTCCCTTGTTTGTAATAACATAACTAAAGATCATCGATGTAGATCAAACGTTGTTTGCTTGGTTTTTTCAATTCACATATTGGGTTTTGGGTGTGCATGTTTTTAGAAATGAGGATGTTCTTTATTGCTCTTCATAATTTTTCTAACCCTCAAAATGTGGAGAATTTCTATCTACAAGTTGATTTAACCATTTTTATTCTCAATTATTTTAGCCTTGTATATAGTTTTATATATATGATATTGAGATGTTTTATAACTAAAACCTAGAAGTTCTGCAGAAGTTACTACGGTTAAAGTTTGAAATTTTGAACAACCTCAATAGATTGAATTTGATCTCTTTACTTGTTGGGATAATTGTTTTGCCCATTTATTTTATTCTTTGGTATCATGCATATATTTGCTTCTAACTGTGTTTGGAACCTTCCATCAGTGGGGTACTGCTTATTGTGTAAGAGGAGGCCCAGAAAAAGAAAGATTGTCAATGGAAGTACGTATTATTTCACATATATTTTGTTAAATTCTTAGAGGAGAATGCTACAATGTTCATAGATGCTATGTGTTCCTCAAACACTACACATGAGGATCTTTTATTGAATAAAAAATTAATAGTTGTTATAGCCAGCAGCTCCAATTCTAAGGTTCTGTCCTCCATGTAATGACCTGCGTTTTATTTTTTAGTACTTGGAGAGAAGAGAATGTGAATATGATCAGAAGACACTTGTAGACTTTTACAAGGTGAGTTCATGTCTAGCTGTATTATTAGCCTTTTGGTATTTCATTCTTTGTTTTATATTTTTCTCTCATTATTTTTTTGTACATGCTTTTCTCATCTCAGGAGGGTGATACCCTAGAGCCAGCTGTCACAGGAGTATTGGTGTAAGCATTTCTAAGTTTTCCTCCCTTTGCAACAATTAATACCAAATACTACAAAAAATAAATAAAATGAAATGAAAATAAAACTCAAGACCCAGTTTGGGAAGAGTACAGAACTACAAATACAAATAAGTACACTGCAGAACCTTATATATGGTATTTTTAAACCTTGTATTTGCACTCTTTCTAAACTCAACCCAAATGCCCAATGGGCAAAATGCCAGTGACTAATTAACGTGAAGAGAATAATACTTGTATCAGTTTTAGTTGCTGGCAACTTCTTCCTTGAACTGTGGAAAAAGTGTCATGATAAAAGGAATTTAACTATTTGCAAAGATGGCCAGTAGATAAAATGTTTTGTTTCTTTTGCAGATTTACATCCACTCCTGACAAAGAATTGAACAAGTATTATCTAGGGCCAGCCCCATTGGAGGAAATGGCAATGTAATGACAACGATAACCTTCTTTCTTTTTGAGAATATAGTTTCTTCAATATGATTCTTTGTCCATTTTGCAGCCAAATTGCAACTGCCTTTGGTCCATGTGGGAACAACAGAGAGTATCTTTTCTCCTTAGAGAAGGCCATGTTCGATATTGGTAAGCTCCCCCTTTTATGGACACATGCTATAATGTTTATGCCTTACATTTTTGTGGAAAAGACAATCAATCGTAATTATTGAATTGGTAATAGTGAGTTTCACAAATAGTGGGGAAAACATTATGCCGTCTCCCTTTTTGTACTTATGAACATTCTTCACCTTCTCTTAATAACATCTATGCCATTGTTTATAAGTTACCATGTAATTACATATTACAGGTCATGAGGATGATTATGTGATTGAACTAGCAAATGAAGTGAGGATGGTACTCGTGCAATTGGAAAAAGCAAAGGAGAAGTTAGTTGTAGCCCATGTCCCCTTCAAATCTCATCTCCCAGCTTTACAGCTTGTTTCTGTACCCGAAGCGGTTGCAATGGACTCCTAGAAATGAAGAAGAAAGAAGACATCAGGGCCATTCTTCACTCACCATTTCTTCAATTCTCCTGCTTGGTCTCTTCTGCCATATATATGCTTGGAATGAAGAGTTTTTCTTTTTAAATTTGCTATAGAACTATCTTCAATGTTAACACCCCTCCTCAACTACATAAAATTAGGTTAGACATCAGAGGGGATCTGATATTGTTTGTTAACCATGATCTAGAGTTGAAAAGAAAAGTATGACTAACTTCCATACATGCGGCATGAATGTAAACTAATTGCAATATATATTATCAACAGAAATCAAGTGACTAATGGAATATGCATTGTCTATCAAAGCCTCCGTTTTCTGTTCTTTATCTGAATTAGTTTCATGTGTGATCTGGAAACCTGTTCACGGGCCAGGCCGGTTCATTCAAATTTTTTCGAAAGTTAAGCCCGAACCCCGCCAATGAACAGGTCCTGGACAATCTTTTCTGTCTCCTTTATTGATCATCATTTACGTCCTTTTATGGCCTAAAATTTATCCACAATATTATTAGGAAAAAAATGGATCTACAATATATGTCATTATTATCAGCATAGACTATTAAATTGATCACAGGCACATCCCACCATTGCATGAGATATAGGGTGCTTCACAACGACCTCATAGGCATATCCCACCATTGCATGGTATCTCACTATCTCCCATATTTATACGTTGTTATTCACGGGAGATGTTCCCAATGCATGGTAAGATGTGCTTGCGAGGCTGAGTTCAGAGTGAGGCACTCTGTGTGAGGAACAGATCGTAATACGTTATTATTCACGGGAGATGTTCTCAATGCATGGTGAGTTGCCTGGGAGGCTGTGAGTTCAATGTGAGGCACCCTATGTGAGGAGCAGATTCCAATTATACATCAACGGATTGATTAAATTGGAATATTCAAATCTAAGTTTTGACAACTTTTGATGTTTAAACTTCATTAAAATATGAAAATCAATATTATGAATAGTCTGAACCGTGATCTGATCTGTAGATTGGGCCAAATTGTTAATCCGTTAAAATGTCTTGGTTGAACAGTTTTTGGCTTAGTCAATGGGTTAATGTAGGGGTGTCAATTGGACTGGATTTGGTCCAATCCAGTCCAGTCCAATGCGAGTCCGTTACAAATGGACCTGGTCCAATCCAGTCCAACGAATATTTTGGACCATTTTGGACCGGTCCAAAGATTGTCTAATCTGTTCAAATTCCTGTTAATTTAGATTGGTTTTAACTCAAATCTGGTCCATTGACACCTATGTTCTTATTTTCTATCAATGGGCTAGATATTGGCTCAATCCAATATAAATTCGTTATGGACGGATCAGGTCCAATCCAATATGTCATATTGGTCCGTCCAGTTCATTCAAATTCAATATGTCTTATTGGTCCATCCAATCCATCCAAATGGATTTTGATTTGGATGGAGTCCAACCCAAAAGCGGTCTATTGACACCCCTAATTTCATGTATTGGCTGGTTCAGAATTAAATTGGGCTATCTTTAGTTTTAAACTCCCGTAGTAGGTCAAATGGTTCAACTGTCTAGGACAACCATGGGTTAAAAGCACCTGATAAAACCACAGGTATCTTCTGGCGGTTGATATTACTCCATGGTCGGTAGAAATGAGAATGGGGCGGGTTTAGGGTGGGGAGTCCCCTACTCATCCCTACCCTTTAGTCGAGATGCTTTGTTCCTAGGGATGGCAATTTCTTCCCTATCCGGTGGGTATTTGCCCCTACCCTCCTTGATGGGGCAGTTTTTTTTTTTTTTTTTTTTTTTTTTTTAAATGATGGGTTTTGGGGCGGGGACGAGTTTTGGGATTCTACAACCCATACGGGTACAGTATTAGGCTCAATCCGACCCTCCCCAACTTGCATATTGTTGAAAAGCATATAAACTTTATGTAGTGGGTGTTGAATTTGATAATATTTTGAATTTTATGTGAAGGATAATTGATAGTTTATGTGTTTTCTATATGTTTGAATCAAATAATTGGAAATTTTGTTGTTTATTTGTGTTATTTGACTTTTTTATTTTTTATATATGACAAAAAATAATAGGAAATTAGATGCACATTCTAAACCCAACTCATCCCTACCCTTGAATGTGGGGAGGGTAGGGTCAAGGAGGGTTTTGCATTTCCATGTGCGGGGAGGGTTTGGATTCTCAAAATCCAACCCAGTACAAGTTTTGGGACAGGTACATGTTGGGAGGTTTAAGAAGGCGAGTAGGGTCTAGAATTTTCAAAACCCTCCTCGAACCAGCCTTGTTGCCATCCCTATCTGCCTCATCCTCAGTGGTAGCATGGGTTCGGGGTAGGGCATCCACTCCCATTGGGATGTGGATTTTTTTAGGAATTGGATTATAACAATTGGGGGTACTTTAGAATTGAAATTATGGGATCTTAGGATTTTAAGAGTTTGGGGAAAACTTAAATATATTTTAAAAATCAATATTAAATTTATGATATTTTACTAATTTATCATTGGATTCAGGCCATGAGGAATTATATACAAACCCCATCACTGCTCCATCCTTGGTTTAGGACAAAGATGTTTTTCCCATCCTTGCCCTGTCCGTTTAAGATTGAGAAAAACCACTACATTCGAGGCAGTGCCCTGGTTTTATGGGGAAAATAACCAAGAGAGTCTCACTATAAGAAATCACACTTCTCTTGACAGTCACGAATTGCATGGTGTAACTTATCTTGGCAGACTGGTGACAGTTTATGGTTCATTGGGCCTGCTGCCCATAAGAAAGGTAACCACTAGCACGGCTCAACAAAGTAGAAAGTGCCAGCTAGACTAGAGGTTGTAGGACATTAGAAACATTTCTTGTACTTGTGTGTTATTATTTATGGGAAGATGTTCCTAATATACGGTGGGATGTGAGGAACATTCTATGAGGAGCATATCCTGCTTCTCCTTCACACAAGTTGGGGGTGGCTTTATTCTTGAAGTGTTGAAAAATAGTAAAGAGAGAGCAAATGGAACTTATCGGTGATCACTTTCTTTTGCCAAAGTTGCAGTGATTTGAAGTTGTTGCAGGAACTTGAAACTGGAAATTGCAGGAAGATGGAGGGCTGAGTCGTGCCACTTGGTCGCTCTCCTTAAAACCGTATTTGCCCCCTACGGTGCAGCCCGGGTGATCGCAAATCGGTCGCCAAGATAAAACAGCCCACAGGGCACTAGTAGGCGTGCACTCACTTACTAGACCTCCACGAACCACTGGAGATTGATGCTCAGATTTCTCAGAGAAAAGAAAGTCGAAAAATGATGTGTGTTCTTGACTAGGTCGGTCAACACTCCTTTTATAGAGTGCTCTTAGACCCAAATAGACACAGATGTGTCCTTTCAGACAGGAGCCTCTTTAGAACGGTGCACCTGTTCGAAGAGGCACAAGGAGGAAAAAGAGACACGAAAAAAAGGAAAAACAATTTATTTAAAAATTAAATTTGAATTTTAAGAGACACATTTTAAAATTGAAAAGGTGTAAATCGGATAAAGCAAATGATTCAATGCATCGCGCGTACACGTACACGCACACCTGTGCCCATGCCCCAACCCAACCCGGCCTGACTTGTGTGAAAAGAACCCCTGTCTTTCCCTACCTTTTCTTTTAGAACAGGAGAAAGAAGAAGAGAGGAATAAGGAAAAGAGCAAGAATGAAATGTTTTGAAAATTTAGGGTAGGTTGGAAAGGTGCAGCCGTGCAGGTTCCCCTTCTTTCCCTACCTTTTCTTTTAGGCCAAATACATCTTTAATGAATAATTACGCTCAATTTAGAAGGAGTACAAATACAAATATGTAGAATCTAAAATATTGTATTTTGTATTATTTTGTATGTATTTATACTTTATACATTTATAATTGTACTCTTAGACGCAATTTGGAAGCAACACAAATACCAATACTAGACTTAACTCTTACATTTTATTTATTAGACTTAACCTTTGGATTTGAAAGCCCCCAAGGTATGTAAGTAGTTTCTAAAACTACAGGGTATATAAGTAGTTTCCTCAAACCTCAAAATACATAAAATTAATTAATCATAGGGAAAGGAAACTACAAATGAAGGCCATTAAAAAGTGAAATCTCTTAAACCACCCCTAAGTTATAGGAAATTAAATAATCATACCACTTATTTAAAAAATCACTTAAAGTACCCTGAGTTATATGACAATTGACAATTGTCAATAATCATTAATAAAATGATGAAAAAATAGCATAACAGTCCTATTCACGGGCTTCCAAAAGAGGGGTGAAAGATAATGTCACGTATGTACAGATTTTGATGGAACATTAACGGAAAATAACGAGAGATTTTCTTAAGACTTCAATCTACTTTGTCTCCACGGCTGGTCTTTTCCATAAGGTGACCGACTAGCTGTATTAAAAAGCATGAATGAGGGTGTATGAAAGGCTGAGAGACTGAAGAGACAAGTGTTGTCTCTTAACCTAAAGAAATTCATGTGGGTCTCAAAATCCAAGCTCGGTACAGCCTGGTTACTACAGTGACGGGCCGGACCTGTCACGACCCACTATGCATCTCTGCCTAAAGCAGAATGGGACTGATTCCACTTTATGGGTGGCTTAATTTGTGCCTAGAAACAAAGCAATATTAATAAACATCTTCAGCTTTGGCTTTTTAATTTCAAGTTTCCCGTGTTTTCTTCACTTTTTTATGTTGTCATGTTCATATCAACTTAAACCAAATGTAAGTTGTGCTCTTCGTTTTGAAAAAAACAATCTGGTTGCTTTGTTCCTTATAATGGAGGAAGTGAGAAAACCTCCAGCAAACATTCTCGTTTAAATTTGCCCTCGGGTATATGTTCACACCAACCATTGTGTTCACAATGTTCACACGCGATTGGTCATGCAAGTCTTTGTCCTTGCCCCGTTACAGATTGCACTCATGAATAGAATAAAATGGAAAAACAGGATTCATGTAAGGTGTAAGTCGCGTGGGTTGGGCCTGTTGGATTTTAATCTCATAAGATATTAAATCCAATGGGTTTTGATTGGTCAATTACATGAGAAAGTGCACCTGCACACTTGATTGAAAAATTTGCTTTTCCCTTTCAAAACCCTGTTTTGAATTTGTCTCACATTGAAAAATTATAAGCTTTGTTTTCAGTATTTTAATAGGAGCTGATTTACACTCCTTAGAAATAGTAGATGAGAGTATGGGGGTTTGATACCACGCAACATGCACGCATGCGTGTGTGTGGCGCAATGAGGCGCTTTAGAGGTGCACTTTACTCGCACTTGCACGCACCGTTAATGAGATCAACGATGCTTGGTTTTGGTGCGATGCTGACTGTTGATCACCGTTGATGAGATCAACGATCATGATTCGATTGGATGTGATCAAGAGGCACAATTCAAATTAACATTCATTAACTGTACTGTTCAAGGTGCCTTCTCTGAACTAGCACCTACCGTTTCTTCATACCTCTTCATAAACTATTTAACGAGCATGAATCAGACTTCAAAAACACACATTTTCGAAATCCACTTTCTCTCTCTCTCAGTCCGGTCTACTACAGTCTCACAGAAGGTTTCTTCGGAGATTCTTCAACTTCATTGGTTGTAGATTCTCGCCCAAGGCCCTGTTGTATCCTGGGAACGGATTTGCTTGTAACCCAACAACAAATTCAGTGAAACTGAGTGGGGGCAAATAATGTTCTAAAGACAGTGTCTTCAGATGCGCCTCAGAGTTTCTCCTCCAAACTTACAGTGACCCCATTTTCCAACAATTTTAAAATGTTTTTTTTTTTTTGCAATGGAAGTGGAAGCAAGCATGACTTCTATCAAGATCTTGTTCGACTAGACTAGTTAGATGGAGCAAACTTCAACCGATGGCAAGACAAAATGATCTTCTTTCTGACCACACCAAAACTATACTATCTGCTGGACCTGAATCTGCAATCAGTTCCTGAACCCACTGACAAAGACTCAGAAAAACTAAAGAAGAAAAGAGCAAAACGAGAAGATGACTCACTTCTGTGTCGATGACACATACTGAATGCCTTATCAGACCGACTCTACAACTTCTACAAGGAACTTACATTTCCAAAAGAAATTGGAAGGCCCTGGAATTCAAATACAAGGTGCAAGAAGCAGGTACAATAAGTATCTTATTGCAAAATACTTCGACTTCACCATGAACGACCATAAACAAATACTGGAGCAAGTTCATGAACTATAGGTGATAGTCAACAAAATTCAATCCCTTGACATCATCATTCCTGAATCTTTTCAAGTGGGAGCAAGCATTGCCAAACTTCCATCATCTTGGAAGGATTACAGGAAGAAGCTTCTGCACAAGGTTGAAGAACTTACCTTAGAGCAAATTCAGCAACACCTTCATATTGAAGAAGAGTATCGGATTAGAGACAGTAAGGATAAGATCCTATCTAGTATGCTGAACTCTAAGGTCAATTTTGTGGAAAACGGATCGAAGAAGACTAACCCTGCATTACAAGTAAAGAAGATGGATGAAAACTTCAAGAAGAGCAACAATAAGAAATGATTCTGCTATGTTTGTGGAAAGAAAGGATGAAAACTTCAAAAAGACTAACCCTGCTTTAGAGGCGCACTTTGCTCGCACTTGCACGCACCGTTGATGAGATCAACGGTGCTTGGTTTTGGTGCGATGCTGACCGTTGATCACTGTTGATGAGATCAACGGTCACGATTCGATCGGGTGTAATCAAGAGACACAATTCAAAGTTAACAGTCATTAACTGTTAACTACTTTTCAAACAATCACAATATTTGAAATTGTGACTGTTCAAGGTGCCTTTTTTGAAACAGTACCTACCTTTTCTTCATACCTCTTCATAAACTATTTAAGGAGCATGAATCAGACTTCAAAAACACACATTTTCGAAATCCACTCTCTTTCTCTCTCTCTCAGTCTGATTTGCTACAGTCTCATAGAAGATTTATTTGGAGATTCTTCAACTTTGCTGGTTGCAGATTCTCGCCCAAGGCTCCGTTGTATCCTAGGAACAGATTTGCCTATATCCCAACATCAAACTCAGTGAAACTGAGTGGGGGCAAATAACGTTCTAAAGACAATGTCTTCAGACGTGCCTCAGAGCTTCTCCTCCAAAGTTACAATGACCCCATTTTCCAACAGGGCCGCGTTTTTGGTCAACCTAGGCCCAACCCTAAGATTTGGCCTTAAGGCCCGATCCCGAGGTCAAGCCCAATTTTTCGAACCCGAGCCCAAACTGTCCTGTAGTTTGATGCACTCGGGTTGGGTTCGGATCCAGGCTAGGCTCGGGTTGGTCAATGAATCTACTCTAAAATTATACATATATAAATGTATTTATGCAAATATATATTCATATATTTATGCATATATGTAAATATGTATGTAAAATATTTATATAAATGTTCTATATACGGATATGTATGTATATATATGTAAATATATATGCAACAGTTACATATATAGACATATATGTATAAATTTATATATTTAGACCAGGTTCGGACTACCTAAAGGCCAGGCAGGCCTGGGTTCGTCCCAAAAAATAAAAAAACCCAACTTCTTGGGCCCGAGCCCAGTCCGAAGACCAAAAATCCAAGTCCAGCCTGTATAAAATTCCGGTTGGACCGATTCAGGCTCGGGCTGGGCTCGCCCAAGTTGCACCTCTAGATTCATGTAACTGATCCTATATATAATTAGGACAAGGTTTAAAGGATGATGATCCAAGCAAGTCTTAAATTTCATCTTACAGTAAGAATTTGGAATACTAACGGTGGGAGGCCCAAGTCATATCTATTTTGTTTTATTTTTCTGCACACCTAAAAAAAAAAAGAAAACAAAGATAGAATAGGAGGATTTCCGATGTAAAAGAAGTAAATTTTTTTTTTTCAATTGTCAATTATCCAATAATTGAATTGGTTAGTGGGCATCACTCTCGATTTCATTTGATTTGATAAAAAATAAGAAAGAAACAAAAAGTTGAAGGAATCTTCTTATAAGGAAAATTGCTTCTATAAAAGTAAAAGTAGTCTAAAGGAGATGAACTTGTCTTTATTCCCACCCCTTTTCTGTGTAAGCGCCAAGCAACTTTCCTGCATAAATTGATTGTCAATGGCGTGGTCAATAGACATTCTGAAGCAGCCATGAAATGGGTGGTGGGCCTTAGGTGCATCTCGCTTTGTCTATATCCCCTTGTTTCACATTGAAAGCTTTAAACAATTTACTTCTTCAAATTAAGTAATTTCCTAGTTGCTGAATGCCATTTACCGATTAATTGAGATTTTCAATTAATATCACTCCCCTTACAAACGACACCATTTTAAACCCCTGCTTGGCCTTGTTAGTACCCATTTTCCAATATATATAGAAAGGAAAGGGCTAGAGTCTATTTTCCAAATTTCAAAGGCTATTTATTATTTATTTAAAACTTTCCTCAATTTTTTATTTCTTTCTTATTTTCTATCAAACCAAATATAGAAAAATTAACATTGAATATTGTTAATATTGTATTTTTTTTAAACCCCAAATGTTATTTCAGATAGAAAAATTATTTATCTACCTAAGAGATAAATACCACTTATCCCTTTCCCCTTCCTCTCTCAAAATCCAAAAACAGAAAAACGGCCCCAAATGATAGACATGAGTATAGAAGTATAGGGTCCATTGGGCTTAATTATAATGGGAAAAAAGTAAGTGTCGGTGGGAATGGCAAAAAGGTCCTTGACTTTTCTTAGTTTTTTATTTTTTATTTTTTCCTTTTTTTTTATTAAAGAAAGTTTTAAAGAAGTTCTTGACTCAAATAGAAATTTCCTAGAAACAACTACGCGTTAATAGTTGCTGATAATCGGGCTTCATGTATGATGTAAAACGCGTTCTTGACTTTTTTCACGCGTTCTTGATCCTGAAACAATCGGGTTGATATTAACTCATCAGCCACACAGCGATAACACTGAAAAGCTTCTCATCCATCCTTCACTGAGGTACAATGTACAATGGCCTCTTCTTCATCTTCCTCTTCCAACTCTCGGTGTAGCGATGGTGTGTTTTTGAGTTTCAGGGGTGAAGACACCCGTAAAGGCTTTACTGATCACCTGTACCAGGCGTTAGATCGGGTAGGAATTCCAACATTCAGAGACGATGAAAAGCTCCAACGAGCAGAGGAAATTGAACCACAACTAGTTGAAGCAATAAAGAAGTCAAAGATTGCACTCATCGTTCTTTCGAAAAATTATGCTGGTTCGAGATGGTGCTTGGAAGAACTTGCCGAAATTATGGAATGCGAGATGACAATGGGTCAGGTGGTTTACCCTGTTTTCTATGATGTTGAGCCAAGAGATGTGCGCAAACAGATTGGGAGTTTTGGAAAAGCATTTGACGACGTCAAAGAGCGATTCAAATTGGAGACAGCGAAAGTGGAGAGGTGGACAAATGCTCTCAAAAAAGCGGCAGATATTTCTGGTTGTGTTGTACGAAATGTTGCCAATGGGTAAACCCACAAATCTCACTCAATTTCTGAGTTCTTGCTTTTGTACTTGATTATAATTAGATCGTAAAGCCCATTGCATGTGTAGCATAATGAACCAAAAACATAAAAGATATCATGCCAGATTTTGTTAATCTATTAACAATTTAGCCCAACAAACAAATTATACAACTATGGCAACGGGGCGGATTTGGGGTAGGGAACATACTCCTTATTCTTGACCCTAACTTTAAAATAAATCCTTATTTCCGATTTCAATCCCCACTAGGGATAAATATGACCCCCAATCCCTGCTAGGGATAGATATCACTATCAATTGCCATTCCTGTTAAGGAAATCTCCATCCCGGACCGGATGCTGAGTACCCAATAGGATAGGCAATATTGCCATCTCTATTCATACTCCAAATCTTCTTAATTGGTTATTTGTTAGAAAACTATAATTTGAAACCTAATAACTAAAACTAGTAAAAAATTAAATTTTAGTAAGTTTTATCTAGCAATTATTAAAAACTAAGAAATTAATAAAAATTAGTAAGTCATAAATTATAAATTAAAATACATTTGAATTCTATTTAAAAGTAATGTATATAATAATAATAATAATAAGTAAAAAATTATTAAAAGTAATAAAATTAACCACTTGCATTCCATATGAAAACTAATAATGACCTAATTATAAATGTCATAAGATTCCTACTTAGGGATGATCATTTATAACTTAGGGAAAATAGGACTGTAAACAACTTGGGTTTAGATGTAATCCAACTACACCCAACTCCACATTCCATTATGTAATCTTTAAATCCGCATTCGCATCTGATTATTATGTCAGCTTTGGATAATCATATTAGGATTTAATCTACAAACACCTTATTATGTTTAAAATGACAAAAATAAATTAAAAATTTTTAAGAAAACCAAATATTTTTAAAGTATATATGTGTAATAAATGTATTAAGTGTAAAATATAAAATTTATCAATTGTAAACTTTACATTAATATATAGATACAAATTTTTTGTAATAAAATAAAATTAAATAAAATCCCAACTCGAAGTCTTAAATACTTAATTAAAATATTTAATCATTAATAAAGTAAAATAAATAAAATAGAATACTAATGGATAATATGAAAAAAATAATTATTTATTAAATAATTAATGGTAATTTATTATTTTTGTTAAAAATTATTAATATAATTAATCCAAATTACTAAGTTATTTTTTTTGTAAAAATCATTAAAATAAAGATTAATTATTTAAACAACATAGCATTCCTTCCTTATAATAGTTATCGGTTTCCATTATTTCACTTTCCATTGACAAATTATGTGCATCACACGGGTCCTTACTAGTATTTAATCAGTGTTTAAATTTCTTATTTTTATTAGTATTTATTAAGTTTGTTTCTTAAGTGAAATTGAAATGTTTTTAATTAGAATTTTAAGGGAACTAAATAGATAAATGGTAGTGAGAAAGGATGGCCATGATATATATATATATATATATATATAAACACACAATAGTAATTAAGCATGTGCATTGCACATAATTTTTTTTTTTCATATTAATTACTTGAATTTTAGATATATCATAGTCATAGTTAAGATAGAAAATAAAAATTAACAAAAGTAACAATATGATTAAAAATAAACTTAAGTACTTGTAGTAAATGTGCAATTCTATCTGAAAAAACAATTATTATTATTACTAAATTTTGTAGTCCATTTCTGTCTAAAATAAAAATAACTTTTATTTTAATAATTATTTTTATTTAATATGATGAATATAAAACATTAGAAATATTCCCAAAGGTTTTTGACAAAATTCTATTTTTTTTTAATTTTTCGTGCTCTATCTTCTTTTTAAATATTTATAATTCAACTATGACATCATGAATTTCTTTGAAAAGTTAGGTCATTGACCCACCATTTAGATAAGAAAATAGCTTTGCTTTCAGTTCAGTTTTAAATTATATATTTCATCTACATTATATAAATATTTTTTACTTATCACACTCGACTTTTGTTTAACATAATTAATATATAATTTTTATATATTTTTTTCATTAATTGTTCTTTGTATTACATTTTAAAGTTTGCTATTATTCAACTATTATATCATCAATTAATCTATTTGACCCAACCCACTAACCCACCACGCAAAAAGAAAAATAGCTTGATTTTAGGTTGACATTAAATTTTGTATTACATTTTCATCCTTGACAAAATTATTTCTTATATATGATATTTACTTTTATTTAGTATAACGAATATATAATATTATTGATGTACCTAATATTTTATTTTTTATAAATATTTAACATTAGATATGCGCCCAAAATTTTCTCTTTTGATTTTAAATTTGCCATTCCATTTTTATCATTTGTAAAAATAATTCTTATTTTTGTTCATATAATGAGAGAAATAAGAAAATAGTTTTATTTTCAATTAATTTTAGATTTTACATTCAATTTCCATCATTAATAAAAGCATTTCTTATTTACCATCAATGTTTTCAACCCATCATTAACCCAATTGGTTGAACCGTTGGAACTATTTCTCAACCTTGATTTTGGGTCTCATTCTATTAAAACTTGCCCTGTCGGTAAAAAAATCGTTGACTTGGCAAAAATTGACTTAATAGGGTGATTTAACTATTGACCCATTCGACCTAGTCACCATGTCGTGGATTGCACACTTAATTATGTGCAAACTTTTGTAGGCCATAACTTTGCACTTCGATGTATAATTGCAGCGATTTTCTTTGTTTTCTATTTTGGGTAACTTTTCAAGATCTATACGACCCAAGGGCCTTAGGTGCCTTGCTATTTTTGTGAGAAAACCCCTTTCTTGGCCTTAAATTATCATTTTTAATATTGTTTATAAATTAAAGATTAAAATATTGATTTAAGAAACATAAATAAATATAACATAATACATATATTATATATAAAACATAATTATACACTACACATACATGTATATATGATGTTAAAATGTTCTCTATTGTTTTAATTTCTATATTTTCTTGCATTTTATATATTTTTGAATTTTATTATTTAGTTGTAGCAACATGGATTGACCTATTTGACCCAAAATTGTTTAATTTCTTACCACCACCTAGATGAAAACACTATTTTTTCTAGGTAGATTTTAAAAGTATAACTTTTATGTTATTGTCATTATTAATTTATTATGTATGGATTCAATTGTAGAATTTAATGGTGAGAAGAAACAACGATGCCTTAAATATATGATTCAATGAAGGTAAATGCAAATTAATAGCTTAAATGTTGGATTTAATAAGAGACAATTGATTGCATTGAATATTTTAAATTACTTTTTGTTTTTAACTCATTTAATACCAATAACTGATTACCTATTTGCCCTCATTTTTTATTAATAAATTTAAATATAGAAGGGTAAATTTTGTCCTTAAAAAATTCCAAAAATATTCTTGAGGGTATTGGTGCTTTTTAAAGTAGGGCCCCATGTGATGCACGGAATATGTTAAATAAATCAAGTAATTATTTATGTATATTAATCAATTTGGTAGAATCTGTGATTTGTAATAGAGACTTGAATCTAATCCTACTATGGTGGGGGTTAAAAGGATAGGGGATGGGTTGTTATGTTGCATCATGAAGTAGAAAACAAAAAATAAATTAAAAAACGTACATCATATAGTTGATTAAATATATTAAGTAAATTAAGCTAAATAAGCTAATTAACCAAACCACATAAATTACGTAAATTAAGTTAAGTAAATTCGGTTAATTTAGTATTAATTGATTATGCTATGGTTAATTCAGTTTGGTAAGTTGAATGCTTATCAAATTAATAGTTCTTATGAGGTTTTATAATTTTTTTTTATCATTCTAGTTGATTTTTTACTATCATATTTTAATATGTATTGACTTGATAATTTTTTTATTATGAAAATTTATTATTACAAAAGGGCGATGAGGCAAGTTCAAGGTGGGGAACCCCCTCCCAACCCCTGTCCTATAGATAAAATCCCCTACCCTTTCCCTGCCCTGCCCTGCCCTAGTGGTGGGGCAAGGCACCCATTCCCAATTGGAGATAGGGAATCCTCTAATTTCCTTACCCAAAAGAAACACCCTAAAAGTATATCAAACTTAGGAAGTACTTTAGAAACATAATTATAGGATTTTAGGGAATTTGAAATTTGAGATAGCCTAGGGACATTTGAAAAATTAATAATAAATCTAGTGATATTTTAATAATTTACCATCAAATTTGGAGGGTTTGGAAAATTATGTATGTGTTTGGTTCCATTTATGCTTTTTCATTTCACGTTTGTATTTTATTTGCTTGAAAAAGCGAGAAAGGTAATAATTACATTCATTTATAACCATTAGGCACCACTAAGCTCTACATCATTGTAATAAAGAAAAAAATGCCTAATTGTTTGTGGAAGCTTTAAAAAATAACTTCCAGAAATGGTAGGTGTGCACAAAAATCAAAGTTCACTTTTTTCCCTGTTCGATGCATACAATAGAGCAATGTTGGGGGACTGCTAAAGTGATGCCTATATAAATGCCCACGGAACCAAACAGCCTTTATATTCCAACCCCACTCCTACTATGTTAAAAAAGTTTCTACATCCCCACCCATCCCATTTAAAGTTGGGGAAAACACACCCCGAGTGCAACACCCCTGCAAAAATGTCCTCCCTATTCATTAATTTTATTAATTTTTTAGTTTCACATTAATAATCTTTATTACAATAAAGTTCCATCTTTATGAATTAATTAATAAAACTTGTTTGATAAATAAATAAATATTTATTTAATTATGACAATGATTAAATATAATGCTTGATTAATGATAGTGAATACTTGTATTGTATAGGAAATGGATAGCAAACATAGGGGTCATGGTATTGTATGTGTAACTCAAAAACTATGCATCTTTGTCCTATGCTCTTCATCTCGAAACAATGCAAATAAGTTTGAATGCAAATATGTAGAGTGTAAAACGGTTCATATAAATTACAAAATTAGATTAGTTTTGCACTGACAAATTTACCTTCTTACCAAAAATACTTTTAACTGTAATGGGTGCAAACATGAATTCCAATAAAGCATAAGCTTTTTTTATCAAAAGCCCACTTGAATGCAAATTTAGTTTTTTTTTTTTTTATTGATGTATTTTTTACATCTTATTATCAATATGTAAATATACATTGGTGTGTTATTTGTCAATGCATAAATGTAATATTAATAAACACAAGCAAAAGTGAATCAGAGTGCAAATTTACCCTGAACCGAGATTTGCACCCTATTTGCATTGTTTCCAAACACAGCCGGAGGGTTTTGTTACGTTGTTCGTCTTTGTCTCGATATACACATTTTCCTTAATGTTTCATGCTTATATTTTATATTTTTATTGATGAGCCAAAAACTATACATCATTCTTCTATCATGTATGCTTAATATTCATTTTATTTGTGTTTTACAAAATCATTTAATTGCTTTGACTTTTTCTCTTTTTTGTGGATATTGATTTTTAGGCATGAGGGACAGGTTATCAAAGACATTATTACAAAAGTATCGAGTATTCTTACTCCAGCAGAATTGCTTATTACTAAATATGCAGTTGGATTGGATTCTCCTGTGGAAAATGTGGTTTCAATGTTAAACCTCAAAGAGAATACGGTTTGTATTATAGGGATATGTGGAATGGGAGGAAGTGGTAAAACAACCATTGCAAAGGCTGTCTATAATCGAATTCATAAGAGTTTTGAAGGTAAATGCTTCCTCAAATGTAGTAGCAACGTACTTTTTCTACAACAACAACTTATTGGTGATATTTTAATGGATCAGAAAGAGGGAGAAGTTATACACCATGTTGACAGGGGAAAAATGATGATTCGAGGAAGACTCAGTAATAAAAAGGTTCTTGTGATTCTTGATGATGTTCAACATAAAGACCAAATAAAGGCATTGGCTGGGGAGCATGATTGGTTTGGTGGTGGTAGTAGAATTATCATAACAACAAGAGATAAAGGTTTGCTAAAACTAGTGAATGTGAAAAAGGATGTGGATAAGACGACATATAGTGTTCAAGAATTGAATGGGGAACATTCTACTGAGCTCTTTTGTTTACATGCTTTTAAAGAAAAACATCCCCCAGAAAATTATGTAGATCTCACAAGGCGTATACTATGGCATCTTCAAGGGCTGCCTTTAGCTATTGAGGTTTGGGGTGGTTTCTTAAATGGAAAAAACGTATCTCAATGGGAAGAAGCTGCAGGGAAGTTAGAAAAGATTCATCATGATGAAATTCAGAGTAAACTCAAGATCAGTTATGATGCATTGGAAGATGATGATCTAAAGAATATATTCCTTGACATTGCATGCTTCTTTACTGGTATGAATGTGGACTATGTCAGTACAATTCTAGATGGTTGTGGCTTCTATCCAAAAAATGGAATTCATGATCTCATTTCTAAGTCTCTTGTAAAGACCGATGAAAGGAATCGGTTAACAATGCACAAAGTACTTCAAGACATGGGGAGAGAAATTGTTCGCAAAGAATCGCCTAATGAACCTGGAGAGCGAAGCAGATTATGGTTGGAAGAGAATGACTGGACAGAAGAATCGCCTAATGAACCTGGAGAGGGAAGCAGATTGTGGTTGGAAGAAGATGACTGGACAGAAGAATCGCCTAATGAACCTGGAGAGCGAAGCAGATTGTGGTTGGAAGAGGATGCCGTTGATGTGTTGAGAGAAAACAAGGTAATTAGAACTAGCTAAATCCATGAGCTAAATAAATAGATGGATTAGTTTACTAATAGTGCTAAAAAAATTGCAAATTGGTTCATTTTAAAGATTTTGCAAAAGCATTAGGAGACATAGATACGCCCACGCATAGACGTAGCCACATAGTTTTTTGAAGGGGTATAAATGGAAATATATGTACGGTGCAAATTGCTTTTTTAGTCTTCCAAAACTAAGCCTTAGTGATTAAAATATCTAGAACGAGCCCCTCATGCTCCTCTCACTACCTTCACTCCCAAAAGACACTTGTTCGGATGTATCATCACTATAAATAATGTTTTTCTCACACACATACAAAAAAAATAATGATGATTGAAATAATGTTTCAAATTAGTGGGAGGACAAACATTTTTTTCTTTTTTGGTTTATTAAAGAATTTTACTAAAATGTCCCTATATTCAACCATAATTAATTACCTCTCTAGATGATGTCAAAACCGGACATGACAATGCTATGCTACTAGTATCATGTATCCAATCATATGATGTGGGTCTGATCACCTATTCTATGATTTCTTTTTGACCTTTTATTTGCAGGGAACCAATAAAATTCAGGGGTTCAGCCTTCAATTATTCTTCGAAGAAAAAGAACCATTGCGAGTTGGTACTAAAGCATTTGGGAAGATGACCAATCTTAGACTGTTCAGACTTGATGGCGTAATTCTCGAACTCGAAGGAAGCTATGAAAATATGCCGAAAAAGATAAGATGGCTCCATTGGCATAGATTCCCTTTGGAGTCTATACCAATAGATTTCGATTTATCGCGTCTTGTTGTTCTCGAGATGACAAGTAGCCATCTCAAAAATGTTTGGGAGGACGGAATGCAAGTAAGAGACAAATTTTGTTTTCATTTTTACCATATATATATATCACTAATTATCATTATTTCTTTTACATGCACTACACCCAATTAATTTCTTTATTATTCACTCCTAGTTTTATCTTACAGCCGTGTCTCATGCACAATTTGAAAATCCTTGATCTTAGTGACTCCAACTCCCTAATAAGGACCCCTGACTTCTCAAAGCTCCCTAAACTAGAGAGGTTGATCCTTGAAGGTTGTTCAAGTTTGGTTGAGGTTCATGAATCCATTGGATGCCTTAAGAAACTAGTTCATTTGGATATGGGACACTGTGCTCGTCTTGTGCATCTTCCAAATAGCATTGGCTATTTGACGTCTCTGAAACAACTTATGCTCTCTCATTGCAACAAGCTCGAAGAATTGCCAAAGGAATTGGGGGAGATGAAATCTTTAAAGTGTCTTGATTTAGGTCAAACTGCAATAAAACGGCTACCATCTTCAATTAGACAATTGAAATCTCTTGAAACATTTTGGATGCATGGTTGTAAGCAACTTGAAGAATTTCCAGAGGAATTGGGGGAGATAGAATCTTTAAAGCTTCTTGCTTTAGGTCAAACTGCAATAAAACGGCTACCATCTTCAATTGGACAACTGAAATCTCTTGAAACATTACGGATGCATGATTGTGAGCAACTTGAAGAATTTCCAGAAGAATTGGGGGAGATGGAATCTTTAAAGCTTCTTGCTTTAAGTGGAACTGCAATAAAACGGCTACCATCTTCAATTGGACAATTGAAATCTCTTGAAAAATTAGAGATGAATCATTATAAGCAACTTGAAGAATTACCAGAGGAATTGGGGGGGATGGAATCTTTAAAGTTTCTTGCTTTAAGTGGAACTGCAATAAAACGGCTACCATCTTCAATTAGACAATTGAAATCTCTTGAAAAATTAGAGATGAATTATTGTAAGCAACTTGAAGAATTACCAGAGGAATTGGGAGAGATGAAGTCTTTAAAGTGTCTTGATTTAAGTCAAACTGCAATAAAACGGCTACCATCTTCAATTGGACAATTGAAATCTCTTGAAATGTTAGACATGAATCATTGTAGGCAACTTGAAGAATTACCAGAGGAATTGGGAGAGATGAAGTCTTTAAAGTGTCTTGCTTTAAGTGGAACTGCAATAAAACGGCTACCATCTTCAATTGGACAATTGAAATCACTTGAAAATTTAGAGATGAATCATTGTAAGCAACTTGAAGAATTACCAGAGGAATTGGGAGAGATGAAGTCTTTAAAGTGTCTTGATTTAATGGAAACTGCAATAAAACGGCTTCCATCTTCAATTGGACAATTGAAATCCTTCCAATTTGCCACGAGGATTTCTTCCAGCAGTTCCAACAACACCCGCAATACATGTTCAAGGTGAGAGAATGAGATTGATTGATCATTGATCCCATCCATATACCCTTAATCTTTTCTTCTGTTTTTTCCTAATTAATTACTTTTGTTTTTTGCCATTAATTAATTAAAAAAACAGGCAAATGCAAGGCTTGTAAAGAAACAGGGGACTGACAGTAGTTGGAATTAATGCTCAGTTCCTCCAGGTGATTGTATTTTAAAAACCTTTAATATGTGATTGTATTATAAACTTGACAGGTGATGTATCTGAGGCTCAGCCTCAGGCTCAAAGTGGTGACCCAGTAACAACTGCGGCAGAGATTTATTGTGAAACTGATGACCCATGTGGAAGTGGAAGTGGAATTATCTTGAAGGATAGAGTACTCTATGTGGGGTTGGGGCCATCAACTGAAACCGAGGACAATGACTTGTTGCATTCCCTTCCCGATCTCAATGAAGTTCCGCCATCACCGGTAACAGACGACAACGACGACTTGCACTTTCACCATTCCCTTCCAGATCTCAACTACATTAATCCACCAAGTTCCATGCTTTCACCTTCAACAAGGGATACTTCGTTCCTCCATCTGGATGATATAGATGGAAGTAGATCTGTAGCAGTCAACAGAGGCATTAAGAGAGGCCACGGTGAAGATGAGGCAGGGCCCAGTAGTAATCCGCCATCTAAGAGATCCCATGGTGAAGAGAATCCCGTAGGTTTGTATTGTGTTTTCACAATAGGCTTCCAATTTGCCATGAGGATTTCCATTGCCTTTACTTAAATATAGGACTATCATTTTATTTGGTCAGATTTTTTAATTTTTTGCAACTGAAATTAGTTTTTTTGTTTAACTTGCTCCCCCAGTGGAGACTGAAGAAACCAAATATGTTCTTCTAAAAGAAAACAAATCTGTGGCCTGTTAAATGGATGAATGATTTGCTTAGATATGGTTTAAAATTTCAAATACCCAATAGTACTTGCCTTTTAAATATATCATTGCAAAATTGAATTTCTAGCATGTATGGAGTCATTTCATCTCACAACCCAAAAGCATATTATACAAATTGTTAATCTTTTGAAGGATTTTTTGCAAACAGGTCCACTGAATGATACGGACAGGAGAGTGCAGATTTTCAATTTCCAGAGCTCTCACTTTTTTTAATCAATGTAAGTCTGTTGAGCTCTTTGTCTTACATCACTGGAGTTACTTTATCTTCTCTTCTCTGTTGGAATTAACTCCTTTTTTTCTTAATTGAATGAACCAACCTAACTCAACTAAGGATATTACTAGACACTGGTCCGGCCAAAATTTTATTTTAGATCATGACCATGAACCTGGATCCTATCCACTGTAAAACATGTCCTGTTTTGAAAATGCCAGTCCCCCAGTTCAAACAAATTTGAAGATCCTATCCACTGTAAAACAGATCCTAGTTGAATTTTATCTGTCGTAAAAATTTGATATCATACACCTTTCAATCAAATACACCAAAAATTATTTGAAGTTGTACATATTATAAATAGAGATAACCAGAAAAGGCTTTAATACCATATTCACAAAATGAGTTAAAAATAATTCCCTCAACGTCTCATCCTACAACCCTGTAGTAATGAACATTGAACAATTTTTCTTGGTTCAACTTTGCTATATATATATATATTGTTATCCATTATATAAACAATGTAGCCTGAGGGTAGATGTGATAATTGCTTTGATGCTTTGTTTTGTTTGCAGTAATTGGCTATAAATTTTGCATTAGTTCCATTTTGCATGGTCAAAACGGTTCGAATGGTTTGAATGGTTAATCAGCCGATTCAACGGTTTTGGGAGAAGAAGCAATTTTGGAGGAAAGCAGAATTGGTCCGACCGTCCGGTCCCATCCGGTTTTGAAAACAGTGCTATTTTGTATCCCTTTTTTGATAAATTACACGGACCCCTAGGGGTCGGTGACAATACCCCTGAACTTCAATTTGTAACAAAAACCCTTCGGAACTTTGGCCGTTAGACAAAGACATCCTTTTAGTAGTGTTCGGAAATTTGAGTGTATAAAATTTTTTATATACCTGAATTACTTTTTAATAATTAATTTTACTCTTTTCTTCAATTTAAAAAATCATCTTTGCCACCATTCCATCGGGTAATATACCATCCTGGCTGCGTCGCTGGTGCCCCCGAGAACCGGTGGATATAGCCTCATGCTTTAGCAAAAGACGATTGCATCGTCATCGAGTGAGTGCAAGAAAGATAATTGCTGCAGCTCTGGGTGATGATCGCCCATAACATTTGAAGGCGATTGATTCACCTATTGTTGATGGGCGCCCGTAACACAATCAGGCTTACTATGTTAGGCCTGAGGTCAGACCTGCGGGCTTAATTACATGACTAAGTCCAACCGAGATGCGGGGCAGGCCAGGCTGGGTTATCGGACTACCCGGCCCATAAACAGGTCTAATCATAACCCAAATGATCCTGAAGGGTGTTGATCCGTTTGTCCAAACATGGGTTTCCTCTATATTTGATTGGCTCCGTGTTTTGGGCCTACAACACGGTACATGGGTCTTGGGCCCTAATTGCTGTGTTAGGTTGCATATCAGGTTGGTTGACGACTATAATTGGTTTTTTATTTGTAGAAGGGCTACATAAGCTAGTGAGGAATAAAAATAAGTACGTGGTATGGAGACTGGATCTGCTCCTCACAAAGGGGCGACTCATAAGCACATCCACTCTGCATTGGGAATGTCTCCCGTGAATAATTAGTATGGGAGATGTTCCCAATGCATGGTAGGATGTGCGTGTGAGGTCGGTGTAAGGCGCCCTATGCGAGGAGAAGATCCAGTCTCCATGATATGAAATTCATCCACTGCTGGCTGCATAAAATGCAGTAAAAGCTTGCCAGAGATTTTTTTTTCTTTTTTGGGATGATTAAAAGTTTTTTGGTCAATTAAGTATTAAGAGTGAATGGCAAGAAAAAGAAAATAGAAAAGGTTTAATAGGGTATTTTGGTAATTTAATGCCTAATATTATCTAACTTAACAGCCGAAGGAGTATTTGCCACAATGTAAATGTTTAGGGGGTCTCTGTCACAAATTAAAGTTTAGGAGGTATCTGTCACTAACCCCATAGTACAGGGGGTCTGTGTAATTATTTAGGGGGGTCTCTTTTTGTCTCATTTGCAATTATTGACAATGCAAATTTTGCATCTAAAAAACTGATTCAAAATTTTCACCACTTTTCTCTATCTTGGTTCTGCCTCTGTAAAGTGTGGACCATATTGTTTTGCTCCCTACCTTAATTTCCTCTTGCTTCCTTTTTCTTTCATATGAAGTTGGAACCACATCATTTTATTTCCTATCTTGTCTCAAACAAACCTACGCAACATCAAATATGAAGTAAAAGTAAATCAGAATTTACAGTCAGCCTATTTGCATTCCCCTTCATTTTCACTAATGCAGATGAAATTCACATTGCAAACAAACTGAGCCTGAGCTTGAGCCTAAGGGAAAAATTGTAGAAAATACTTATGACATGTGATAAAAATCAATTTTCATACCAATGAAAAGGGTTGTATTTAATAATTTATTTCTTAAGAACAAAAATAAGCAACACAGAATGGTTGATTTGAGTTCCAAAAAGGAGCTATTCTAGAGAAGACCAAAGTTGTTTGCATATATGGGTGCAAATTAAGTACTCAATTTCAATAATTTCACTATGAAGGCATTTTTTTTTTTTATTTTAAGAGGGGGGAAAGTTGGCCAATGGGATTTTGATTCCCATTAACCAAGAAATGCATGTTCTCTTTTCAGATTTATATGGGGACAGGGAAAGTTTATTTTCTTGAGTGATACCCATCTCCTATGTGGATAAATAACTTTTCCACCTAGGGGGAAGTTGCCAATACTTGACTGGGATAAAAGAATGTCCCTTTTAATAACGGATTTTTATGGTTAAAATGGTCATTACCTTATTTACATGGGAAATAAAAGAACATGGGTAAATACATTTACCCAGATAAGTCTTAATTTCTTGGAAAACACTTACCCAGATAAAGCGGCTGCACTGAATGATTTATTGCCTTTTATTTTAATGAGTAAAACAATTGAAAAATAGAATATTCGAGTATAAAAATCAACCCAATTTCAGTTTCAACTAGTAAAATAGTGATTTTCGGGGTCACATTGAATAGAGATTGCCCTCCTATTTTTTATTTCTTTTTTCCCTAATGATACTGTATCTTCTCTACTGCTAATATTAAGAGAGGAAGCAATACCTTTAAGGCTATAAAGGAATATGAGGAGAAATTGGGGTAGAAGGATAATCTTTCTTTGGTTGGAAGTTGTGCACAGTAGAAACCTTCATGGTAGTCTATAGAAAATTGTTTCTAGGGCCTTGGGTTTTGAAAGGGTAGAGGGATAGATAAAAGACACTTTATATTGACTAGTGAAGTCAATATTAACTCATTGCTGCTGTTTGGGCCTAAAAGATTTAACCTTCTGAGTGCATAAGCTACTTTGATCAATATCCTATTAATAATACAAATTTGATAATATCAAACTGCAAAACCAAAAGTTTGATTTCATCACTAAATTTACACAATACAAAGGAATCTATCATTCCTTATAAAGGTGTTAACATGTAACAGAGTTTGATTGAATCTCCACCCTTGCTCTTTAACAAAATTTACGACATATAGAATCGAAAATATTTCATTTGTATAATTCCTTGTTGCGCCAATAAAACATCCCCTACAGCCATAATAAAAATTTCAGCATTAATATGAACTGCATTTCCATAAACTCCATTTGGGAAGAGTGCAAATACTGGTTCAATGCATATATGCATTGTAGTTTAGTTTTGTTAGTGCTTGGAAACAACACATTTATGTATTGGCAATAACAGAAAATGAAGCATGTTTTCACCTAAAATGTTTTTACCTTAGCTTTGAAGCAACAAAGCAATTGTTAAATGTTAGATGAGACACCAAAAATTCCTAATAGTTACTCCACACATTGAAGGACTAAGACAAAAACTACTTGTGAGATTTTTTTTTTTAGTTGTTCATAAAAAGAAATCATCTTGTTTCTAACTTTCCATATATAATAGAAGACTATAGCCACCTAAGCTAGAAACTGATCCTTTTCAATTTGGTCGTCAAATAATGACAAACTTTCTTTGTTAAAATTCAACACAGATATAGTATCTTGAATACCTCGACACCAAAGTGAAGCAAACAATATAGTTCTACAATAATGACGTATACAGAATTTATGAACCAAAGATTCATTTGCTTCATTCAAGAATGATTTTCTACATTTATACCAATTCTATCAAGGGCATCTAAGCTTTACCCTATCTGTACTTAAAATAACACCTATTGATGGAGGATGATTTGGCTTGACCTCATAATAAGGGGACATGTGGACATGACTCTACATAAGTGACAATTCAGCGTAACGAACTCGCTACAACTCCAGCGTGACTAGCTCGCTACAACCCAGCCTGATAGCTCACCATAAATGGCAGCTCGCTACAAGGTAATTCTGGACTATCCCGAGCTAAAACTCTCTCGAGCTGGGATCACCCCAAGCTAAGAGTCCTTGGTACCAAATTTGGACGTTAGAAATTGTTTAGTTTCTTTTACTACCTTCAAATTTGTTCCCATTATTAGCATATCATTAACATATAAACAAAATATGACTCCTTTATCATTTACAAACTTACTATGGATACACCTATAAGAATCATTTCTGTTATTTCCATTTGTTACTAATATATTGTCAAATTTTTTATGCCATTGTTTGAGAGTTTATTTTAAGCTATACAAAAGTTTAATTAGCTTGCATACTTTATTTTCTTATCTTGACATTCATTTAGGTTGCTTAATATATATTTATTTCTCTAATTCCCCTTTTAAGAAAGCGATTTGTACATCCATTTGATGAACTACTACTTTGTAAATGGATGCTATAACAAACAAAACTCTATTTGTAGTTAACCTTGCAATTTGGGAGTAAGTGTCAAAGAAGACTATATCTTTCTTTTGTTTGGACCCTTTAGCAACTAATCTGGCTTTGAATTTATCTATTGTATCATTTGGTTTTAATTGTTTTTAAAAATTCATTTACAATCCAATGCCTTAAAAATTCATTTTGCATCATAGGACTCAATTATTGTGTTGTTCTTTACAACGTTATCAATTGTTTTAATTACAAAAAACCAATAAATCGCATTATTTTGTGTATATCTAATGAATATATAGTCACAAGTTTTTTGTTCCAATTTCTTCCTTGTAGGTTCAGGTATTTTAACATTTATTAAGTAGGTCCAAACTTTTAGGTAGTTCAAATTAGGTTTCCTGTCATACCACAGTTCAAAAGGTATTTGGCCTTTATTCTTGGATGGCATTCTATTATATAAGCGATAAGCTGTTATGATTGCTTCCTCCCATAAGTTTATAGGTGCACTTGAATTAATTAGCATATCATTCATCATTTCTTTTAATGTTTGATTGAGTCTTTCTACAACTCTATTAGATTCAGGTTTGTAAGGGGTTGTGGTTTCATGTATGATTCCATTTTTTTTAAAGAATTTCTCAATGGTTTCACCCACCTTGGAGATGCAGATGAAACACAGCCTCCTGAAGATGAAGATGATGATGATGATGATATTGATGGTGATGAAATACCACCCAACTTTGTTTGGTAGTTGGTACCATTGAGAAATGAGGCCAACGTATGGAAGAATTTGGATTATTAGATCGGTACAATATATATGTTGAATTTGTAGTTTTGTTTTGCATTTAATACTTGTTAAGCTTGGTTTGCAATCTCTTTATTACTTTTGATTGTAATCTTTTTTGAGTACCTAAGTATTGTGATTGATGAATTAGGAAAGCATGATTTTATGGCAATATCTAAGTTGTCTACTTGTCACCTCGACAGGGCAAGCCATCACGAGTTGCTTGGACCTGATCTAGGCCAAGGTGCCTGAGGTACCCAATTTTACTTAGCCTGTTAAGGTGGCAAGAAATGTCGAGTCA